CCCAAAACACTGATCAGAGATGCTTCTGTTAAAATGCCAGGTGACAACATAGGTGGGGAAAGCTTTTGGTGAGCAGAGCAGGAAGTCAAAATGAGCTTGACAATGTGAAGAAAATAAGATGGAATTTTGCAAGGCAAAGTACTGAACTTAACTGGGTGCAATTAAGTGCACAGGAACAGAGGAAATGGTCCTCATCCATCTGAAAGTGGCTGGGAGTGACAAGCTGACTTGCAGGATCAGCAGAAGGAAACCAGGAATGGTGAAATGGCTCTTCAAAGAGATCCAGGCAGCAGAGAGCAACCCCACACTCCTGGGGCCAGCAAACACGGTCCCACGGGGAAGGGCTGGAGGAGGCAAGGATCTGCAGCACGGGGGGCAGAGGGACGCAGGGCCTTGAGCGAGGGGCTTGAGCTGCACTGAAGAAGATCCAGGAAAAGAACTTCTCCACAGCCACGCCATGCTGCAAGCTAACCTTCTTTAAACCTTCCAAACATTCACGTATTGGCAAATACAACTCATCTCTGTTAAACAACCACACTTAGAACCTTGACACTGAGCCAAATGCACCCAATTCAGGGTTTTTTCCTCCCAGCCAGAGGCCAAGGAATGGAAGCCAGATGATGCCACCTTGCAGCAGGAGATGCCTCCACAGATGCCCTAGGGATGTTCTGCTGGGGTTGTGCATCAGCCCCAAAGCACCCATCTCTTGCCACAAAGGAGCAAGTGCAGTTGGAAACACACCCCAAGGGATGAGACAGTCAAATATCAGCCCCCTAGGTGCAAGATTTTAGATGTCATTTTTCAGGGGAGCCCAAAGGACTCCCTAAAAAAGGATGCTCATGGCCATAGACCCATGCTGGATGCTTGCAAAGAAAGAGAGACCACAGGGAGGTGTGTGGACCTCCAGAGACAAGCAGCTTGCTCTCCAGCATTCTGGAAATTAGAGGCACAGCACTGCAAAAAGCTCCAGGCATATTCCCAACATCCTTGCAGCTGGGGGGACAGCTGAAAAGAGAAGCCCTCCACGGACCTGGGAAAGCAGAAAAATGTCCACCTTCCAGGGCATCTGCCAAAACAGATGAGGATGCAACCGAGAGCATCTCTCCACAGTGCCCAGCAGCAGCCCTCCAACAACCCCCCTCATTCCCCTCCTCCTCCAGAGCCTGCTGGCTGCCCTGGCTTTAATCCCACAGGGAGCATCATCCCAATAATTTCCTCCATTTTCAATCTGCTTCCCTCCATTTTCAATCCACTGATCTGGGGGCAGCCCACAAATCCCTTCATCCTGAGAGCAAAACAATCTACTGCTTCATCTCATCTCCATTTCTCTAATCCCTGGAAACAGGGACGAGGTTTGGAGCACATGGGCTGCCCTGGAGGGGTCTGTCCAGGCGATGCTGGACAGAAGCATGACGGGCTGGGGCTACTCTCATGAATGCCACCCAGCTTCTCAAAGCACCTGGGCCAGGTCCTAGCCCCTGCTAATCCAGGGATGCGGGAACAGGTCTTCCTCCTTTCCCCAGCTGCCATGCTGGGGACATTAGGGACAGATTAGGTGCAGAACAGAAAACACATGGGGATCAAGCAAGGGTGGCAGAGGGGGAGTCACAACCACCCTGGTCCCATCAATCCCGGTTGCATCCAGTGCTTTGTCCACAATCCCAAACCCATGACTTTCACCCTGGCCACAGATGCTCTTTGGGAACAGGAGACTGATCAGAGACATGGGGAGACTCCTGTCTCCGCCTGCCCTGGAGAAGTGACCCGGCGCCCCGAGGGGCTTGGCTGGGGTGCAGACTGACCCCATCCCTCCTCTGCCAGGCCCCCACTGGTGCGGATCCGGACACGGGAGGGGGGATCCCACACCGAAGGCCACCACAGGGTCGTGTCCCACCTGACACTGTCCCCAGCCCAAGGAAGGGGCTGCAGGGCAGTGTGTGCCAGGGCTGTGCGGTGGCACAAGGGACTGCCCTGTCCCTGTCCCTGTCCCGAGCGGTGCTGGCTCTCCCTGCTCCAGCTGGCGAGGAGGAAGACGGGGCCCCTCGGCATCCGGGGGTGGATCGCCAGTGCGCTGCGCTCAGACCCTGACAGCAGGCTCCAAAACTGTCACTCCCGATCTGTTTTCACTTCAGCTAAACCTCAACCCCTATTACAATCAAGGAGAGCCGCCTCTCCTCTCCCCTTCTCCCTGTGGTAGGTCCTGTGTAACCTCGGGTCTCAACGCTGAGCCAAACCCCAGCCAGGGAATGGGTGAACTGGGTCCACTGGGAACGATGGCTGCCAGAGACAGGGTCACGACTACCCCATCCCCAGACCTGGCCCTGGCAGCGAGGGCACAGCCACTGCAGTGGTTGCATCCCTGCAGGGCTGCGGGTCTGTCAAAATCCGTGGGGGATGCACCACCGATATCACGGATACCACAACCTGCCTCTGCCGTGGGTGGTATCCAGCTCCCAAACCGCATCCATGGAGTGGAGGGGGTTTGGTTACAGCAAGGTGCACCCACTGCCCGCCGCCAGCTCACTTAGCGACCCCCAAATTAAATAAATTAAACCAGATCCGTGTGTGTGTGTGTGTGATTACAGCACAGGATGGATGCGTTCAGTGGGAAGCTGTTCAGTGGGAGAAAGTGTGGTGGATGGAGACAACCCTCTCCAACCGGGGAAGCCTTCAAATTCCCTCCCCAGCTCAGCTGGCCAGAAAGCAGCTGCAGAGAACTGGCAGACTCCCATCATGGGGGCTGTCACCCACCCTCGTGCTGCAGGACTGGGGGGCTCAAGGGCAGAGGTACCACCCTATGGGTCTGGGGACCATCCCCTGCTCTCCAAAGGCACACACAGCCTGGAGCCAGGGCTCCCAGTGCTGCGCCACCACCGGGATCAAGCTCAGCCCAGTGTGCCAGGCATGTCCCGCCCCCCCCCCGCCACAGAGAGCCACGCCACCGGCAAGGTGCCCTCTCTGCCTGCTCCACAGCAAACACCCATTTTCCAAGAGGGAGCCTGGAAAAAACAATCGATCCCCTGGGAAAAGCTACCCTGGGGCCACTAAAGCAGCATGGCTGGCTGGTACCCAGGGGAGTATCCCTCAAGGTGGGGTGTGAGCAGCTCCCCGTGCCCCCTGGTCCACCTCAAAAGTGAGCTGGCCACCACCAAGGGATTTGCTCCATCCACCAGCAATCCTGGCAGCATTCCTCTTCCTTCATCCCACGCTACATTCCCGCAGCTTCTCTAATGCCATTCTGAAGGTATTCAAATAATGTTGGAGGCAATTAGAGATTATTCCCTCCGCCTTGACAGCTGCCTTTTGTCCCCACCTCAAAATGACCATTGTTCTTGGAGGAATAAACGTCCTCTTAATTCAGCAAGATTAAAAGAACATTTCCTGCCATTATTTCCCAAGAAGAAAAAATTTGCTTCTGTGTCTGAGAACACTGAAAATATTTATAAATATGAATCCCTAAAAGAAAGGGGAAGTCTGAGATTAAGAGCTTCGGAAACATTACTGAGTTATTCTGGAATTCTGTATTAAGAGCAAAACCCCAGCTATTAGTAAAGAATGACTGCAGGTTTTTTTTAATTCAGAGTTGGGTTTCTGTATCAAAATGCAGCCCAGCATCTGTCCTTGCATCTGTCAAAACAAAGGTCAATCATTTTATGGAAACTTAAACACAACGTCCTTGAGCCACTGTTTCTGGTTTATTTTTAAGCTGAACGTGACTTCCAGTTAATAAAATCGTACCTTTTAAGATAGTTCACATTCAAGTTACATTTTCCCAGAAAACTCGGATTATGAGAAAAACGTATCAGAGAGTATTTTTCCTTTATAGTATGGAGACGATAATTTGGGGTTGATTTCAACAGCTTTTAAGCCATCTACAACATTTGCCACTTACATTTCACTTTTCTACTTATAAAGTGATGATGAAACCAAAGAAAATGCAACAGAAACATGATGGTATCAGGAAGAATTTTGACACCCTGAGGAAAATGGGTATCTGAGGGCAAACAGAAAACAAAGCGAGAATCATAATAAAAGGGATTCCTCTCTCCAAATCAAATTTCCCCCCCAGAAGGAAGAAAAAAGAAGAAAAAGAATGGAAATAGGATGGAATTAAATAATACAAATATTTATAGCATTAAATATTAATGGATGTGGAATGGATTAGAAATATTCTTAAAATAATACTGGAACAAGAATGGAATTCAAAATAAAAATATTAAAAATTTGGAAATATACTGGAACCAAAAATAAACAGAAATACTTCAAACAAAACAAAATAATGCAACATAAAAATCAAATTAATCAGGGTTGGGGGTTTTATTATGTTGCCACACTAAGACATGATTAACATCCCTGTTATTTGTGTCCATTTCTTGAAGGCAATTCCATTTGTGCCATTCCCACCCAAGCGCACACACAAATGACACTGTCCAAAGCCTGAGCTGCAAATCATGGAATTTAGGAACAGCTGGATATTCTGGTTAAGGAAGAGATGGACACTTCCCTACCTAGGGAGACAATCTTTGGCACTGGCTGCCAGGCATGGGTAAAATGGATTTTAACTAAAATAAAGCACACGCTTCAAGAACGACAATTTTGCAAAAGAAATTTGCAGTGAGATTTGTCAAATTTAATTCACAAAAAATATTTGGCTTTTTTTTTTCCCTGAAAACAAAAGCAAACAAATATTTGGCAAAATAATTTCCCAACATTGTTTTGGGAATTTCTCCCAGGAGAGAGCTGGGGAGCAGCCACTAACTTAAGGGAATGCCGTACTTGTGTGCCGATGTCTCCCATAATCCCGCCTCACGCTGCCACAGGCTTAAATTTCCTCCACGAGAGATTCCCTTAAAACTGCTCCTAAGCATTCAAAGCTCTTCCAACCCACACTGGAGCCCGGGACCTGGCTCATTCCAGGATCCTTCCCTGACTTACACTGGTAGGAAAAGTTGCCCGTGGCAGGTGGTCTTCCACCAAGACAATCTTTTAAATCTCCTTACCTTTCCCAAAGAGCCGCTTTCGTGCCGCTTTGGCGGGAGGGGGATCCAGACAGATGGCCAGTCTTTTCACGTTTGGAAAGGATGAAAAATGCTACAGGGGGGAAAAAAATCCCAGTGATTTTTTTTTTTTTTCTTATTCCGCTGTTCGGCGCAGAAGGGCTCCCAACCTCATTGGCCATGGGAGACCCACCACGTGGCACGGGATGAACGGCACGTGACCCGTTTTCTCCCAAATCCCTGGGTTTGCTGGAAAGGGGGATGCACCCACTGCTGATGTTCTTGTCATTTCATGGGCTTTGATTTATTTATTTATTTTTATTATTTTTTTTTTAAAGGCCACTGAGCAAATCTGGATGCCTTGAGGCGATGAGGGCAAGCCAGCCAATGCTTCCAACGTGAAGGAGAAAGGATCTCAGCACGAGATGAGCTCCGGTGCGCTGCCCATGCACAGGGGGAAATTTGGGCACGTTTTATGGGGTGCCTGCCCACCCAGTGTGGGGCCAGAGCCTCTGGGAGGGACAGGAGACCTGTGCTAAACCCTCCACCTCAGAGGCAGCATCACAGTGGGAAGGACCCTGCTGAAGCCCTGCCTGCACGTCCCAGAGTTCATCTGGCTCCCTGCAGGAAGGGGATGTGTTACAACTGCTCCATCACCCAAACCAGATGATCTCGTGCCCCGATGTTGCTCCTGACCCCTCCTCAGCTGTTCCCATCCTCTGCTGCCCTCCTGGCTGACACACCAAACTGCTCCAAGAGATGACAATCTCCTCCTCTGGAGGCTGCTGGAACAGCTTTCTGGGAAGCTGGACCAAGAGCAGTGGCACACTCTGGGTGGGCACCACCTGCTCCCACCAGCCCATAGCTACACCAGACCCAAAGGGTGTTTCAGTGTCCCCACACAGACACTCACCCAGCTCAAAATGCAGCATAATTCTGGGGATCCCAAAAAGGTCCTTGAGACGCTGTGGAGTAAGGAAAGCCAAGCCACTGCTCCCAGTATTTGATTTTGACTGGTGCTAGGGGTGTTCCCAGCTCTGAGCCACCACATCCCAGCTGGCCATGGTCCACAGGCAAAGCATCTCCTGTCCTTCCCTCGGCAGCCAGGGCAGATACCAGCCCTTCGATGGCCAGACATTCAGACTGGGGAAGGAAAAAGGAGTTTTTGGAGCCCCCAGACATCCTCATGCTCTGTCCATCGAAGCTCATGTCCATTGGTCGCACCAGTCAGAAGCTGCATTTTTCCATCAACCCAAGTCTCCACCTGGCTGTGCCAACCCTTGGCTGTGCTGTCTTTCCATGCCAGGGATACATCTGTTCACCTGCAAGCTGCAGCCAAATCTACCTTGGGCATCTGCCCTTGGATGTCACTTCTGCAGAGCCCCAGCCACCCCATCACTCAAGGGCTCAAGCCCTTCTCCTAAGCACCTAAGGCTCCTTGGAGGACCAGCTGAACTTGATGAAACAGCCACGGCCACCTCCAGCCCTTCTTGGCATCACCACCATGTCCCAAATGCTGGTTCTTCCTTGCAGATGTTCCCCCTCCATGGTTCTGAATGGGGACAGGAAGCATCAGGAGCACAGCCCCTAATTCCAGATTCTTCCCAAGGCCAGACTGTCTCAAATCACAGTGTTCCCAAAACCACAAGTACAGCCATAAAAAGCCCCAAACAGTGTAGAAAAAGTGCAGGGTTTCACCCAAATCTTCTCTGGCTCAGAGGGTCATGCTTCAGCCAAATCACTGGGAACTCACTTCCAACAAATGCACATTGAGGGAGAAACTTAAGCACTAAAATTTTCAAATTCAAACTATGGCCACAGCCCAAAGCACCCAGCTCACCGCTTGCCCCTCCTGTGTTTTCTGATGGCCACAGAGAAGAAACCTGAGCACCCTGGGACAGTGGAAGGTGTCCCTGCCCACAGCAGGGGGTCAGAACGAGATGAGCTTTAAGGTCCCTTCCAACTCAAAGCATTCCACGATTCTGTGGTTCCATGATCCCTCGCCCCACCTTTCGGCCCCTCCTCCTTCCCCAGAGAAGCTAAAGCTGGCTCCTCAGTAATCTTCCCAATAATTATATAATAGAGAGGCAGGCAGATAAATCATTTCAGGCCGCTGTGCCCATAGAAAGCAAGCTGGATTAAAAGATCAGAACAAGCAATACTTAGATTAAAATGGTTTGTTATTTTCAGCTGCGGGAAAATATCTGTGGCTAAAGCACAGAAGATACGAAGTGAAGGCCCATCACCTTCTTTCCTCCCAAAATCTGACCTTTTTACATATTAGCCAAGGCGAGTTCTAGGTTTCCAACCTCAAACCAGGTTTTGCTTTCCAATAGGTAAAAAAATACACTTTGCCAGTTCATGTGACATTCTAGATTAAAAGATGCTTCAAGCTGTAGTTTCCCCATGTGAAGCCATCAGAGCCCTTAAATCAGGAGAACTGGCGCACAGGTTGGCAGATAACGCCACTGCCTACAAAAAATGTGGCTCCTGGCATGATGGGCACCAACCCTTTTGCTTTGTCCCGAGCCTCCCCACAGTCCCAAGCTGATGGCAGGTGGATGTCAGGCTTACCAGCAGTGCAGAGGTGGCAGTGGCAGCTGGGAGAAGCCCATCAGACAGTGGGACAGCTCTCTACGGGGATCTATATGCTGTCCCCCTGGCCCCCAGCAAGGTCGGTGGCCCGGGGTGCTATGCTCTGACTGATGGCTTTGGAAAGGCGTGAAGGGGAGGCAGGAACAAAAGGGGGAGAGAGGGAACTGGTGCTGGGGGCCGAGCTCTCCGCAGGGCATGGGGCTCATCAGCCCAGTTTGGATCAATGGGTGAGCTCCGCTCATTCACTTTCAAGGTCAGATTGAGCAGAAGGATCAAACTGAGAAATGGATTGGCACTGGCGGGCACATCCCCGTCACCACCCTGCAGCCTCGTGTCACAGCTGTTTGCCTTGCTGGAATGGACAATTCCCACCAGACAGCATCTTCAGAATCAGCATTCCCACCTGAACACACTGCTAACCCTGTGGAATCTCCATCTTACGGCATCAGCAGTGACCACTCATCCCATCACCTGGATGGAAGACGGAGCAGCAGTTTTTCCAGTGTAAAGTCGCAGAATATCCTGAGTTGGAAGGGATCCACAAGGATCATCGAGTCTAACTCCTGGCCCTGCACAGGACAATGCCCAGAATCCCACCTTGTGCTGTTCCAGGTTGTCTCTCCCAGCTGTAGTTTTTCTATAAAAATGTCAAGGTACCACACACACAGGATCAGCCCTGAATTGAGGATAGCACCCCATGGGGCAAGAGGTCCAAGACACAGCCTCGGGGAGGGCTTGGACAGAGACAGGCACCAGGCTCCTCTCCCTTCTGTGGATGTGGGAGAGGGGCGGGACACAGACCTGAGAGAAGGGATGGGATGGTGGACAGGGAGCATGAGAAGGCAGAAAAATTATGTCAGTGACCTTACCAGAGGGAGATGGGAGCTATGAGATTTTGTGATATCCACCCAAATTCAGCCTTATATTGCCGGAAAGTGTACTCACTAGAGCCAGAGAATGAAAAACACTTGCTGGACAGGTGATGGCAGAGACCTCAGACCAGACATAACCAGTACCCACCACATCACCAGAGGTCACAGATAAACCTCCTCACAGTCTTTTTTGGCAAGTTTGATCCTTGCTGTGCCTTACTGGGTCACCTGCAGCTCCTCTGGGAAACCTCCAGCCCTCTATCCAAAACCGACCCTCATGTTGCAGCTGCAGGCTGTTTGCTCTGGCCGGACTCTCCCGACGTTTTCCGTGCAGGAAACAGGGATAAGCAACACTTGTAAAAGGAACGGGAGAAAAGAGAAATGGGTTTGTCTGTCGCTACAACATTTCTGCTTTTTGGAGCTGTCTTCTCCCTCGGAGACACACATCCTCCTCTCCACTAATGGAAAATGTTGCCCCGCCATCCATTCGTGCTAGTCAATGCCTGGGACAACATGATGGCCCGGGGCCACTCCAGATCTATTTTAGTCACAAAAGCAGAGTGGCTGATGAAAATCACTTCCCAGCTTAGCTCTTTTGCTGGTTTTAATGGAATGGCCAGTGTGGCGGAAAGCAGGCGGCGAGGGTGGAGATGGCACCATGGGAGACCTGCAGGGATACAGGAGAGAGGCCCCAGCATCCTCCCTGCAGATGTTTTACAGCCTAAGGGACCTGCAAAGACTCTTCCTTCCAGGATTTGCCCAGAGAAGGTATGGCTGCCCCTTCCTTGGGAGTGTTCTAGGCCAGGCTGGACGGGGCCTGTGGAAGATGTCCCCATGGAACAAGATGAGCTCTAAGGGGACCCTTCCAATCTGAACAATTCTGGGATTCTATGACTTGGGAAGGACCTTACCTTACCCTACAGGACGGCCTCAAGCTCCAGAGTGATTCCTGGGAGGGTCTGGCTGCACCAGAAAAGGGCATGCTGAGCGTGGTGGGGAGCCCAGCAGTCCACGGCACGAGCCTGCAGACCAGGATATGGCAGAGGTTAAGGCACAGCACAGAGGAAAGACCAAAACTGCTTAATGTGAACTTCATAGAGAAATAAAACACAGACTTGTCTAGGGGTTGGGGAAGAATGATCAAGAGCATCACCTCCAGGTTGTGTATGGGCTTAGGCAAGCAGAACTTAATTTTTTCTTTACATTGCAAACAGGTTTGGGCAGATCCTCAGCATTCACCAACCACAGGAAATCATCCCATGGAGGATGGGATCCCTGGGATGCCAGAGAGACTCCCCAGTGACCACAGCCCAGCAGTCCTCCTCTGTGGTCACCTGCCTATAGCCATGCCTAGCTGTGGAGCCAAGGGCCTGCTTCCTACAGAAATCCAACGGTGTTGGAAAGAACCCCGCACGTTTCAGCGCCATGGGTGCAGAGTGCCAGCTGGATTTTTGCTGCTGCTCCCAATAAGTTAACTGGGGCGTGCACTACCTGTCAATATAATCAATGGAGCAGCCTCAACTGCTAATAAACCAAGTGCCAGAGGGCAGGAAAACCTCTCCACTGCCCAAAATAT